GGAAGAGATTACACGTCCTTGCGAAAGCGTTTGATTTTATTCATTTTATGTTGCCAAGTATAAAAATGGGCAAAACATGTTTTAATCGTAATGGTACACACGCTGAGCACGTTTTCACTACAAATAGCAATTGCCGACGTCGACGAGAACATAGCATCTTCGGTGTGATCATGCTAAAAATATTGAGCTCCGCAGCAGAGCCTTCGGATTTACGGAACAAATGACGGATGTCTCCATAGCGGAGCCAACGGAGCGCTAAGGGTTAATAGTCTCTCCCCTAGATCTCAATATGAATTTTCAAGAATATTCCAATTCGATAAGAATTTTCAATGGTGGAAATATATTTGAGCCTCGTGGTCCATACGCGCACTACAAGTGGGTGGGAAGCATAGAAATATATATATATATAATATATATTAATAATATAATAATAATAATAATAATATTAATATTAATAATATAATAATAATAATAATAATATTAATTAATATAATAATATTAATAATAATAATAATTATAATTATAATATATAATTATATATATATAATTTTCAAGAATATTTCAATTCAATAACAATTTTCAGCGGTGGGAATATTTGAGCCTGGTGGTCCATATGCGCACTAAAAGTGAGTGGGAAGCATAGTTCCCAGAGTCTATGAAAGGGTTAATAAACTCTATCCTAGACCCGTTTTTTACGCCAGCTCTTTTCCTTTTGCCTTCCTCAGCATTTTCGTCAATCCCTTTCTCAGCACCTTGTCTAGACTCCAACGCCCATCAGCAATGATCTCAAACTTCGTACGACATCAGCGTTGCTGCATAGGAAGCAGCCGAGCTGCAAACGCAGTCAGCTGGCGTTCACGTTCGTATTTCCGTCGATCTACGCGCGATCGGCGTTTAGCTCGGTAAACGGCTCGTCGTCCGCGGAGACATCAATCGCCGCGGATCAGCGCGCGGCGTATTCAATGTAAACGCGGAAACGACGAACGAATATCTCTTCCTTAATAAGAGTGGCGAACAGAGAGCCCGGGTGTTTTTGCGGCGGGTATTCCGCGGATCGACAGCGGGACCCGGCTGGGTTTTATCGTTCGAGGAGTCT